AAATCAAGAAAGCAAGGAAGCTTAAAGAAAGATCCTTCATAGCCAAGGAATTAATTAAGGCTAAGAGGTAACCCATGTCTCAACAAAACCTATTTTCATAGTTATGATTCCCCCTTAGGGTTTCCCCATATTATTGTGTATTAATGATTGGTGATGATTATTATTAATGATTGATATAATGATTCCATGGGGAATCTTGATAATCTTGATGTTGGGAGATTCTTGATAATTATGGTGTTCTTGATGCTTACATGGGGATCTTGATGATTATTTGGAATTCTTGATGATTATGTGATGTTCTTGATAATTGTGTGTTGTTCTTGATGCTTATGCGTTATTCTTACCGAATCTTGTAATTAGAAGACGAACCGCATTCTTGTTGATATAAAAGTGATTAGAACCCTAGGTTGTATCGTATGATATTATTCTTGGTTTATCGGGTGGGGAAATCGCATGTTTGGGTGTTGATTATGTTTAGAGAAGCATGATGGGTTATGTGCCGTTCGTTTCTCGTATTTGATCCGTTAATTGTGTACGTGTTGTCGTTAATTGCGTTGTAAAGTGTCTAAGCATGGTTTCGGGTTCCACAACGGTTCCCGGGGCGAAATCATGTGATAAGAGTCAGTGGGGGGTAGGTGGGGGGTGGGGACCCGCCACCTACCCACGGCCGGAAATAGTATATCCGGCAGCGGGCAGCCGGCGGGCGGGCAGCTGCCCACCAGCGACCCGCTGCCCGGAACAGTGAGTCCGGCGGGTGGCCCCCCACCCACCGGCTACCCGCTGGAAATTCCCCCAACTTGGGATCCCGGCTTCCCCGTTTGATGTTCCCCGTTCCCCGTGGTGTCCCAACGGACTCCGTTTATCGTGCCTATGTCTAGTTTGATGTTTCGGGTACCGTTCGTAGGTTTATGAGTCTATTATATTGCATGCTAGTTGAATTGGTATCCCGTTGACCTAGGTGGAAGAAGTATGAACCCCTTAGGACTATTCTTAGTAAGTGATGGATCACGCATAGGTTTTGTTATACGTTTTCTCCCCCTTCCTAATGTGTAATGTGGGTTGCATGTGCTTGCTATGTGTTATGTGTGTGTTACCCCAATTCGGTTGCGATCGGATTGGTTATCCTGAGCTGCGGTTCAGAAGCTGGCTGCGGTCAGATTGATACTCTTGGGCTGCGGTCCACCGTTTGGTTGCGATCAAACGTTTCTATACGAGCTGCGGTTCGTCCTTTTTCCTGGCTGCGGTCAGATGACATTCTCTTGGGCTGCGGTCCACTGTTTTGTTGCGATCAAACACTATGATGAGCTGCGGTTCATCGGTCGGTTGCGATCGACCCCTCCGTGTTGCGATACGGGGCAGGGTGCTGCGGGGCCGTGTCAGAGCTATATGCGCTGACCCTCATGTATGGGCATGCGATTGGTCCTGTGGCGCCAACAAAGTGTGTTATGTGTTGTGACATGGACGAGTTGTGATTACGAGTGTCTTGGGGGATGTGACTATGGGATTTATATTGGGAATTGTTCATGTTGGGTTATGACCATTGTTTATGCTTTGCCTTATCTGCCTTATCTATTGTGAACTGCATATGCTCGTTATAACTGTTGCTTGTGTCTGGCCTTATCTGTCGAGTCATTCCCGGTTTTAAAGCTAGAGTTTGTAGGATATATCTTCATGCTCAAAATGGTTTTCGTATATCTATATATATCTCTATATGTATTGTATTTCAACGCGTTGGAGTGGGTTACCAGCATCTCTCGCTGAACAGATATATTTGGCTTTCAGGCACAGAAGATTAAGTCACTGGAGTGCGCTAGAACTTAGAAGTAGATAGTTTCCCTTTTGGCCTGCGTGCCACGTTTACGTATTTACGCTTTGAGGATATTAGTTAGTTAGCCTGTGCACTTGGGTTCTCTAGCCCAGGTGTGGCATAGCACCCCGAACACTTGTATTTATATCTTGGGATTTAATAAGATTCTACCATTATTATAAGTTTTAAATGTCTTGAAAATCTGGGGTGTTATAGGGTCCCCTACCCCCCACCTACCCCCCACTGACTCTTATCACACAATACGCCCCGGGAACCGTTGTGGAACCCGAAACCATGCTTAGACACTTTTCAACGCAATTACGACAACACGTAGACAATTAACGGATCAAATACGAGAAACGAACGGCACATAACCTATCATGCTTTTTCTAAATATAATCAACACCCAAACATGCGATTTCCCCACCCGATAATCCAAGAATAATATCCTACGATACAACCTAGGGTTCTAATCACTTTTATGCCAACAAGAATACGGTTCGTCTTTTAATTGCAAGATTCGGTACAAATAACACAAAAGCATCAAGGACGCCATACAATTATCAAGAACGACAAATAATCATCAAGAACTCCACATAATCATTAAGAACACCATAATTATCAAGAATCTCCCAATATTAAGATTATGAAGATCCCTCATGGGATCATCACATCAAACATCAATAATCATCATCATATCACGCCAATACACAATAATATGGGGGAAACCCTAAGGGGGAATCATAGCTATGAAAATAGGTTTTGTTGAGACATGGGTTACCTCTTAGCCTTAATTAATTCCTTGGCTATGAAGGGTCTTTCTTTAAGCTTTCTTGCTTTCTTGATTTCTTCTACGGGGATTCTTGGAGCTCTTTTGGGGTGGTGGGGCGTTATTCTTGTGGGGGGTTCTAGGTGCCTCTTAAGTCCCGTATTTATATATTTAGGAGTCCTAATTAGGAACTAATATTATAGGCTTGCTAATTCTATTCCTTTTGGAACTAAGGATTGGGTTTAGGGGTTGGGTTTATATATGAGGGCCCACGGGCTATGGTGGGCTTTTTTCCATAATTAATCATTATAATTTATTCTTTCTCTTGGGCTATTGATTAATTAACTAATTGGTTTTAGGGCTCGTAACACGGGGTGTTACATCAGTGTAATTCAAAGTCTCCTCTGGGCCTGTCACTGCATTAAAACCCCCGGTCACTAACCAGGGACCAGAAATTGCTCTTTTTACCGCCTGTAGCTCGCACCATAACCTCTTCCTTAGATAGTGAATCGGACTGCCGTAAACAATCGCCATATTCCACGAAGCCTCATTGCCTTCCCGTACCTGCAATAGAACAAATTGAGGATGAGTAAAAACCACCTCCACATGAATTGAATCGTTCTAGAGTATCCAGATTCCCCCACTGAAGCCTACTGCCTCCACCTGAACCCAATCCTCGAAACCCAACTTGGAGTAAATGGCGTTTGCATGCGTCCCCGACACTTTCGGTTCCACCAATCCCACCAAGCTTGGTTTGTGAGTCCTTATAAGAAGTTTAAGGATGCGTTGGAAGTCTCTTCCCCCCTGCGCCTTGACAATTCCAGATAAGATTGATCATAAAACAAACAGAAAAAAAAAAAAAACAACACCCCATAATAAACAAGCACAACACACACGGAACTAAAATTAAACCAGAGCTGCGACGCCATAGGTATCCCCAACATCGCCCCCTGGTTCATCTTCTACTTCCATCTCAGCATCCATGTCTTCGTCAAAACAATCCGGATCATCGCTGAAGTGTTCTCCTGCATCTTCCATCATTTGCATGTAGCTAGTGGTGGCTGCCTGCGCATGAGCAACTGTTTCAGTCTGGATATGCTTGCCACCTTGCGATCCTCGAACCACAATATGTTCTTCTTTCTCCGCCGCACGACGTGAGCCCCCCTTTTGAATATTGTGTGTTCTGATCGCCTTCTCCTTCCTCTTAGATTCCTTCCCCGACCTTGCTTCTGTTTGATTTTCAATTTGTTTCCCATTAACAACCACATTGGCCCTTCTCTGCTTCCTTGCTTGCTGCGTATTTCGCTTGCCGTTCCTGTTTTTCCCATCATCTTTCCCCTTTTCAGCCGCCGCTAGACCAGTGGACCGCTGCTCCTCCCTTGTTTCCTCCACTCCCTTCGTGCCCGGTGTCTTCTCAGCTTCCCCGCCCTGGTCCTCTTCTTCCTCATGTTCATTGGTCAGAGGTTGGAATCGGGATTGATCTGAAATCGCTGGGGCCCCAGCCTTGCGTTGCCTGCTAGTCTCCGGTATCTGGTGTTGGCGTCTTTCCGGCTTTGTGACCACCATCCAGGATCCGTAAGGTTTGGCCGCCCCCTCCTCCGTTTCAGCGCCATGCACGATGACTGTTTTTGCCCCTGCGTTTCGATTCTGTTCTGTCTCTCCAGATGGTTCCTTGGGCGTCAACGTCGGACATGATTCTGTGCTATGGCTGTACATTTCGCAATGGAAACATACCAGATGGAGACCCTCATAAGCAATGAATCTGCGTCGTCCTTCCAACGTAAGCTTGGACAGAAGTGGCTTGGTAATGTCCACCTCTACACATATCCTGGCGAACCTGCCTCTAGACGCGTGGCTCGTCGCGTGGTTGACTCTCACCGGGCGTCCAATCTTGTCTCCGATCTTTTTCAGGAAAATGTCGCTGTAATACTCGATCGGGAGGCATGGGAAGCGCACCCAAACCAGGACCTTCTCAGTTTTGTCCGCGATCGGATCAAAGTTTGGTTCCAATTCTTTTACAATGAGGTAGTGATCGAGCACCTTCCATGGTCCCTCAAACTTGGCGAAGTTTATATCTTCTATAGATCCAAATTTGACGAGGAAGTAATCGTTGTCAATCGCCACCATCTCAAATCCACCTCTCGGCCTCCATAACGCATATAGCTTTCGCATTAGGAAGGAGTATCCAATGCGTTTTCCCCAGACTTTGATGATCAGGGCCTGCTTCCACGGGGCTCTAATCGCTTCCTTCTCTTTTCTGGTTAATCTGATAGTTGGGCATAGCGGGTCCTCCTCCTCGCCTGACTGATCGTCATCAGAAAAACAGTCATCTCCGTCCTGGTCCTCCAGTGGCAGATCAATGATCACCACGGTGTTCTTTGCAACCGCGTCCCTGAAAGACAAAGGTGGCAAATCGCGCATGGGCTATTCCGGCCTGGCCACGTCTTCCACCATCGCCTCTAGTGGTGTCTCTGGCACCACCTCCACCGCTTCCCCATCATGCGTCTTCTGCCCTCCGTTGTCATGATGAGGATATAATATTTCTGAATGAATCAAATAATAAGTCTGTACAGGAATATATATAGTAGCGAATAACAAACCTAATACAAGACTAATACTAGTAACAATAGGTAACGAATACTAATAATAATAGAGTCCTAATACTCCCCCTCAAGCACAAGGTGGACTAGCTACAACATTGAGCTTGCCACACAGAGTAGAGAAACGCGGACCAGGGAGAGCTTTAGTGAACACGTCAGCCAGCTGATTCTTAGTAGAAATGAAGCTAACCTGCAACTCTTTCTTTGCCACTTTGTCACGAACAAAGTGATAGTCAATTTCCACATGTTTCGTACGAGCATGGAACATCGGGTTGGAACAGAGATAAGTTGCACCCAGATTATCACACCAGAGAGTGGGAGGAGCTGCCAACGGCAACCGAAGTTCATGCAATAGAGAAACCAACCAGGTGACCTCAGCAGACACGTCAGCTAGTGCCTTGTACTCGGCCTCTGTAGACGAACGAGCAATCGTACGTTGCTTCCGGCAAGACCAAGAGATCAGATTGTCACCAAGAAAAACCGCAAAGCCGCTAGTAGACTTTCTGTCAGCGGGGTCCCCAGCCCAGTCCGAATCCGAAAAAGCATGCACTGCAACAGAGGAGGATGGGCGAATAAACAGACCAAAATGCAAAGTGCCTTTAACGTACTGCAGAACACGTTTGAGCATTGCCCAATGCTCAGTAGTCGGGGAGTGCATATGCTGACAGACCCGATTCGCAGCAAAAGATAAATCCGGGCGAGTGACAGTAAGATACTGCAGAGCCCCAGCAAGACTGCGATACTGCGTGGGATCGGCATAAGGAACCACCGATTCAGAAACGGGTCGAGTCACAGGCACCGGAGTAGCCAACGGCTTGCAGTCCACCATACCTGCACGGCTCAAGATATCTCGCATGTATCGCTGCTGAGAAAGAAACAAACCATCACCACGAGAGACCGTCTCAATGCCCAGAAAAAAGGACGGAGCACCCATGTCACGAATCTTGAATTCCGAGGCTAAGTCAGTCAGAAGCCGAGTACACGCGAAGCATCAGATCCCATAACAAGGATATCATCCACATAAACAAGCACATATAAAGATACAGAGTCACGAGTGTATATGAATAAAGAGACATCAGTCTTTGAAGGTGAAAAACCAACCGACACCAAGAAAGCATGTAACCTGTTAAACCATGCGCGAGGAGCTTGCTTAAGACCATAGAGTGACCTCTGTAATAAGCATACATCATCCGGTCGTGACGAGTCCTCATAGCCAGGCGGCTGTCGCATGTAGACTGTCTCTGCAAGATTACCATTCAGAAAGGCGTTGTGAACATCCAACTGCCGAATTACCCAACCGCGAGAGACAGCCAAGGAGAGAAGAAGCCGCACGGTTGTGGGTTTTACAACAGGACTGAAGGTCTCAAAAAAGTCCTGTCCTGCGACTTGATTGAATCCCTTAGCCACCAACCGAGCCTTGTGCCGCTCAATCGTGCCATCAGCCTTGCGCTTCGTCCTGAACACCCATTTGCAGCCTACAACATTCATACCAGGTGTGCGACTAACCAGACGCCAAGTGTGATTCTGGAGCAAGGCATTAAACTCAAATCCATGGCCTCACGCCATTCTGGATACCGAACTGCCTGAGAATAACAGGTCGGCTTAGAAACAGTCATAAGAGCCACATGCTGCGTCGGCCCTAAAGAACGAGTCGCCATAACATGAGACCGAGGTGGAACCGGTTTTACCGTGCGCCAACCTCACTTGGGCGCCTTAGGAGCACCCGAGACTGCCACATCTGGAGCCACGGCAGTCTCGGTGCGGGAATCAGAAGCAGCACCAGCAGCCCCGGAATCCGTGTCCATCTCCGGACGAGGATCCGGCCCAGCAGAACAAACACCGGAGCTCGCGCCAACCTGAACGGCGCCAACACCCCACGGCTCAATCGGGCGAGAGCTAGAGACCTGAGAGGGGACAGAAGAAGCAAATGGAAATATGGTTTCATCAAACCGCACATGACGACAAATGAATACCTTGTTAGTAGCAGGATCAAAACAACGATAGCCACGAAACGAAGACGGATAACCAAGAAACACACACGGAGAAGACCGATACTGCAACTTGTTACGATTATACGGGCGTAACAGAGGATAACAGAGACAGTCAAACACACGCAAGAAAGAGTAAGAAGGACTAGAACGATGCAACCGAGAATGAGGACTATCATTATCCAAAACCCGAGTCGGCATCTTATTGATGAGATAGACCGCAGTCTCAAAGGCATAATCCCAATATCGTTGTGGAACAGAAGCCTGGGCCAAGAGAGCCAAACCCGTTTCCACAACGTGACGATGCCGACGCTCAACTCTACCATTCTGCTCATGGGTATAGGCACAAGACTGCCTATGATTAATACCCAAAGAGACAAAAGTACGGTGCAACCGTTTATACTCTCCCCCTAAATCAGATTGAATAGAGACAATCTTACGACCATATGAACGCTCAACTAGTGACCGAAACTGCTCGAAGATAGCATACACATCAGTTTTCAAACGCATAGGATAAAACCATACATAGCGCGTATAGTCATCAACAAACAAAACAAAATAACGAAAGCCATTGACGGAAAGAAAAGGCGCTGGGCCCCAAATAATAGTATATATAAGTTCTAAAACATGAGACGTAGTAGTATTGACACGAGGCAAGGGAAACCGTGAGGATTTCCCAAGCATACAAGCACGACACAATTCCGAAGTATCACTAAAACTAGACTGAATAGAACATGAATTTAAAATCTGCCGCAAGACACGCGGGTGAGGATGACCCAACCGGCTATGCCACACGTCGGAGGAGACTCGAGAGGCCACAAACGCAGCGGGACTTGAACGAGAGACAGGCCAAGAATAGAGACCCCCCGAAGCCGGCCCTTTATATAGAACTTCCCTGGTTGAACGATCCTTCACAAAGAAACAATCGGGGTGAAACTCAAAAAAGACATTATTATCACGAGCAAACCGTTGCACAGACAATAAAGACGCAGAAAGCCCAGGAACATGAAGAACATCAGACAATCGAAACAGTGTTTTAGATGCGGTTAACGAAGATGAACCAGTACTAACAATAGGTAAACACTTACCGTCACCAACACGAAGATGATCCGGACCATTATAAGGAACCGCCGAGGATATTAAAGACGGATCCGGAGTGGCATGATTCGACGCACCAGTGTCAGGAAACCACTGCTGAGGATTAACCGAAGCCGAATCATCAACAGAATATGCAACATGTGCCCGCGGCCCCGGAGCGCCATCATAACGACGATAGCACGAAGCGGCCGAGTGGCCTTCGCCGGAGCAGATCTGGCAGTGGACAGCCCCGGCGCCACCTCGACCGCGGCCTCGGCCCTTGCCACGACCTCGGCCTCGGCCCTTGCCACGACCTCGGCCTCGATTGCCGCCGCCACGCTGCTGCCCGCCCGAGCGACCTCCACCTCGCTGAGCCGCCATGGCGACCGGAGCAGCAGCAACGTCACCACCATCATCAGCACATATAAATGCCTGCGAAACAGGAAAATCGGATAACTCGGGTAAAGACACCGGAGCACCCCTCGTCAGCGACACCACTAAAGGGCGATATTCGGACCGCAAGCCCTGGAATATATACATATTCTGATCTTCTAGTGTCACCGGACGGCCGGCAAGTGCCAAATCCTCAATAAGCACCTGAGCACGCCCAAGATAATCCGGGATCGAAGCATCCCCCTGCCGCAATCCTTGCAGTTCGCCCACCAACCGAAGAGCACGGGCCTGAGTCGTCGAACCAAGAACCTGTTCGATCGCCACCCGCAAATGCCGAGAGGAGGTTTTACCGATGGCTAGATGCATCATCTCGTCGGACAAGGACGAGATCAACAAGGAGAGCACGGCCTTATCTTGACGAAGCCATGCACTCCGAGCGGCGGACGATACGGCCGACGAAGACACGGCAGCAGCAGCCTCCTCGGCAGAAGGTACCGTAATCGCAGTAAACGGGGGACACACAGACGTTCCATCGACAAAACCCAATAATCCTTGGCCATCCAGGAACGGAAGAAGCTGAGTGCGCCAAAACAAAAAATTACGGGATGTCAATTTGATGGAAACGAAGTGATGAGCCGAAGAAAACGACACCCCGGACTGGAGGGGTGCCACAAGCGCAGCCTCAGAAACAGTCCGTTCAGAACTTCCAACAGAACCGCCATCAGAACCGAGGTGCGCCATAGAGAGAGAAAAAGAACCTGCTGATACCAGATGAGGATATAATATTTCTGAATGAATCAAATAATAAGTCTGCACAGGAATATATATAGTAGCGAATAGCAAACCTAATACAAAACTAATACTAGTAACAATAGGTAACGAATACTAATAATAATAGAGTCCTAATAGTCATGCTTGGTCTTCTTGGTACTCCGTTCAAGGAGATCCAGATCTTCCGATGAACGCTGTTTTGAGAGCATTCTTTCTTTCAAAATTTAAAAGAGTAAAGGAGATATTGAAAAAATTCACAATTACATCATGTTTAGTTTACGCAATAGATTACTAGAAATAAAATAACATTTATGAAATATGCATATTCTATTGTTTGATATAGTTATTTCATTTTCGAGAACAATTTCCATGAAATGAGTTATTTCCTTGTAAATGGAATAACTATTTGAGGGAGACTCCAATATTAAATTATTCTTGATTTCACGATAATATCTTATTTTAGTCAATGCATAGTTTATCTTCTATGTATGTGTGGGTATATATATATATATAGTTGTGTTCAATTGAAAGTAGCCTTCCCATGTAAATTTGCAAACTCACTAGTACAAATGAGAAAAGAAATATGACTTTAGGCTACCATTCTTCAAATAAGGGTAGTGTATTGTTAATAATAAAAAAAAAAGAAACCGCTACTCTTTTAAGAGTACCGGCTGGAAAAAAAAAAAGACTTTTCGCTACCTTTGCTCGTAGCAAGAGTAGCGAATAATATATTAATTTTAATTAATATAACTATCCACCACGCTTTCTAAAAGAAAGGACAACGGAAACTAGCTAGATCTAGAAACAAAATATAAAATAAAATAAAATAAAAACCCTCAACGCCTTCGCCGTCGGCCTCACATCCGCCGTCGACACCGCCTCCCTCATCCTCCCACGACGCCGCTGACACCACCTCTCTCACCACGACTCCCTCAGCCTCGACCAAACTCCGCCGCCGACACCAAGCTAAGGACTCCAACGCCTCTCTTCTTCTCATTAGCTACCGGCAACCAGACCTAGTCGACGTCGCCGCCTCCACGTACTGCCGACGTCTGCCACTGACGTCGCCACCGCCGCCGCCAACTTCCGCTATCGATAGTACGGTAAGGTTTTTATTTATTTATTTATTTATTTATTTATTATTGTGCTAAATATCATATGTGACTAGAGACTATTTACATATTCTCCCCCGATTCTCCTCTTTTGCTTCTCTTTTTTTATGGGTATCTATAGTTTTTGAAGACTATTCAATTTTTAGGCTGAGGCAAGTATGAATGCGGTTGCGTTGAAGAAGTTTGTGGAGGAGAATCGGAGGTTAGTGGTGGAATGCTTGAATTTGTTGTCGCAAGTGCAAGAGATGGGGAAGAGAGTTCTCGTTATACGACAGGGACCGAGAGTGTCTACGTAAGACAGACTTGGGCAGCCTCATAGTCTATAACTTTAGAAAATGGTATGTGATACGTTACAAGTGCTAAATTTTCAATTGTGTAATTTTTTGCATTTTCTAGAGTTACATCCTACTTCATGGGCTCAAGAGACTTTTTATCTCCAAACATAGTGAAAGTAAGAGATCTAATGTTTTTTTCTTTTTGAAGAAATCATGTTGGTGATTTTGAAAATATTTTAAACTAACTTAGGAAGCTACTAGTCTCAACTCTCAAGTATTGAAGATCTACAGGTATAATAATAAGAATTGCTTGGTTAT